TCTAGGTCTAGACAGTTGGCCACTGCTCTAATTAGTTCCTAAACAGTTTAGGCGGGGACTTGCTGCCTAGGCACTATCACCTTCCCATCTGACTAGCGTCTAGTGTTTTTTAGGACCTTGATTTAAATCGAAAAATAAAATAAAAATTAATGAAATTATACCTAACTAACTTGTAAATGTGTATTTTTTATTGTACTTTTATTAGATTTTAACACTAGTATAACTTTATGTATTTGTTGCATGTGTTGTGCAGGTGACACAGCAAGACCTAGCAGACACATACCAGCCTCCGTTCCAAAAATGCGTGCAGGAAGGCCAAGCAAGTGGCTTAATGTGTGCCTATAACCGCATAAATGGGGTTCCAAGCTGTGCAGATCACAATCTCCTAACCAAGGTTGCAAGAGGACAATGGGACTTTCATGGGTACTTCACTATCACCAAACTCCATTTTTCTTCACCCTTTTCCTTTAACTTTATTATTTTGTCTTTTTTTGTTTTACTTTTTCCGTCAAATATCGTCAGGAAATATATGCTAATATATTAGCCAATCATAGATGGTTGTCGACATGTATGATTTAGTCAGTTGTTCATGGTTGTCGACGTACCAAATTATGTGCTAGTCATTCAGGTTTTAGTTGACTAGTAGCTAAAATTGCACCACCCATAATATTACCAGGTCAGAAATTTGGTACAAAAAGTACTGTTGTTTTTGCCAAATTTACAAAGATTCGAGTTCTTAATTTAATAAATGAACTGAGGAAATGCTAATTAAAGAAAAATCAGGATTTATTGAGCTAAACTGGGAAGTGATCAGGTACATCACGTCGGACTGCGATGCTGTCTCCATCATCCACGATGTACAAGGATACGCTAAAAAGCCCGAGGATGCAGTCGTTGATGTGCTCAAAGCAGGTATGGACCACCATAGCACCAATCTCCTATCTTATTATCCATTTTTTGTTTTTTTACTCTTTTTTCTTGTATCTTGTTTAGTGTAACACGACATGTGTCTATGTTTCTCACTTTTGTTGTTTGGCTTTTTGTTGGGTAATTGTAAAATCCCCTCCCGTTTGCAAGTGACATTTTACCATACTGATGAAAATGTATTATATCTTTGTATGATGGTGTGAGTTCAAACTCCGTCAATGACTAATTTAATATTTAACTAGTAGCCTTTTACCACATTGATGAAAATATGTTGTACCTTTGTATGTCAGTGTGAGTTTAAACTCTGTCGATAACTAATCTAACATTTAATTTACTAACACCATTATTCGAATAAAATAAAATAAAAACATCCACTCCTAGTTGTCATGGCCCATTTATGAACTCATATGGGCCCGAATCACTTTAAATCGACCTTTTGGGATTTTCAATTTTCTTTTTACTAAAGGTCAAAACAAAAATGAAACTGTCCCTCCAATCCATTATCAACTTAGAGTGGCCACTTTCTTAGTTTTGCTTTACGATATTATATGAAGCCCAAAAACTGTGTGTGTGTAAATATAAAAATTTTAAAAATTATTATATATATATGTAAAAGAGAAAGGTTAGGGAGACGTGTGAAAGAAAGAAGAATTACATTACTACTTATAATTTTATTTTGTAATAGAAGATTAAATTATTTTTTCGTCCTCTTTTAATTGACGAAGATAATTTTATTAATAGGTATTTAGATTTGGTATATAATCTATATTGTATAGAGATAAGGACTAAACAGAAAAAGAAAGGAATCTTGAATTATGGAGTCTAATTAGTCCAAATTTGATTGAGATATTTCAAAAAGCTATATAGCATGTGAAATATGTACAGATAGGTAATCATCCTTTAGGTCCCCTTATTTTGGCCTGCCGAGATTTACTTTCAAGATTTTAGCAATGCAAACTTCGGCATGTACTATATAGAAAAGAATTTTGTAGTTGACAGTTTAGCGACCTATAGTCTTGATTTAGATTTAGGTAATTTTTATTTTGATACTCTTTGTTCAGTCAGTTTTATTTATGAGGATCGACTTGGGCTATGCCGATCTAGATTTATAATTGAGTGAGTTTGTTTGGACTCTTGCTTTTAGCCCCGTTTTTCAACCAAAAAAGAAATGTTATAGATAGAACCAGTTGAAAACGGGTTCTATTTTGAGATATTTCTTGTATCATTTCCCTTTTGATAGTAAGAAGTGAACATAAAATTGGGTAAAGATCAAAAAAAAAAAAAAAAAAAAGATTTAAAAAGATTTGAAAGAATTGGCTTCTGATTAATCCAAGTTTAACTAAGAAACATAAAAAAGCTAGCTCTAACATGATTATATATTATATACTATATACAAATGTTGCAGGCATGGATGTGAACTGTGGATCCTACTTGAAGGATCACACAAAATCAGCAGTGGAGCAGAAAAAGCTTGAAGTGTCAAAAATAGACAGAGCACTCCACAACCTCTTCTCAGTGAGGATGAGGCTAGGCCTGTTTGATGGCAGTCCACTCAACCAACCCTATGGCAGCATTGGTCCAGACCAAGTGTGCTCCCAACTGCACCAGGCTCTAGCCCTAGAAGCTGCTCAAGATGGAATAGTGCTTTTGAAAAACTCTGGCAGGCTTCTCCCACTCCCAAAAGCAAAAGCCATTTCACTTGCTGTCATTGGTCCCCATGCCAATGCTTTAGAAGCACTTCTGGGAAACTACCATGGTCCTCCATGCAAATCCATCACCCCATTAGAAGCACTTCAAGGCTACGCTAAGAACATAAATTATCACCTGGGTTGTGATTCAGTTGAGTGTCCCCAAGCTGCTTTTGATGAAGCTGCTGGAACAGCAAAAGAAGCAGATTATGTGGTTTTGATTGTGGGATTGGACCAAAGTCAAGAGAGAGAGGAACTTGATAGATTGCAATTGGGATTGCCTGGGAAGCAGCAGGAGCTAATTAGGAGTGTGGCTAAAGTTGCCAAGAAACCTGTTATTCTCGTGATTCTTAGTGGGGGTCCAGTTGACATTTCTTTTGCTAAACATAACAAAAATATTGGAAGCATCTTGTGGGCTGGATATCCAGGTGAAGCTGGTGGAATTGCCCTTGCTGAAATCATCTTTGGTGAACACAACCCAGGTAAAAGTCGGTTTGATTGACAATTCAAATCTTTGATTAACAGTCGGATAACATAACATGTTATGTAGAGATGATTTACCGATAAAATGTTTGACGTGTTTGATGCGTGCTATGCAGGTGGAGATTGCCAATGGCTTGGTACACACAAGATTATGTCAAAATGCCAATGACAGACATGAGAATGAGGTGTGAACCGAAAACAGGCTATCCTGGTCGAACTTACAGATTCTACACAGGCAAAAAAGTTTTTGACTTTGGTTATGGCCTCAGCTACTCAAACTATGTTTATAAGTTTTCCTCTGCAGCATCCCAAAACAAGCTCTACTTAAATGAATCATCAATTAGTCCCACGGCTAAGTCATCGGACTCTGGGCGGTATCAGTTAGTCCAAGACCTAGGTGGAGAATTCTGCGAGAAAAAGAAGTTATCGGTCAGAGTGAGGGTTCACAATCATGGGGAGATGGCAGGCAAGCATCCGGTGCTGCTTTTTGTGGGTGAGAAAAAGCCCAAAAATGGAAGGCCAATGAAGCAGTTGGTTGGATTCAAAAGTGTGATACTGAGTGCTGGGGAAAGAGCTGAAATTGAATTTGATTTGAACCCTTGTGAGCACTTGAGCCATGCAAATGAGGAAGGTTTGATGGCGGTTGAAGAAGGTTCTTATTTCTTGGGCGTAGGAGATGCCAAACACCCACTTGACATCGTAGTGTGATACATTTAGGTTGATTTTCAGTGCCGTATTCATTCACTAGGAATTTATTAATGCAAATCGTAAAATACGGAAGAGCCGACTTTGAGCTCTTTCCGGTTGTCATGTGTTCCTAAATTGCAACGATCAAAATCGATATTTATAATTTTGGCTATAATTTTTGTGATGGATTCGTTTAAGTTTATTCATCAAATGAGACGTCTTGAAGACAAAACCTAAAATTCTGATTGAAGATCCCACAAGACGGAGAAACAACACTTGAACGAAGAAAATGAAGAAAGAAGCAGAGAGAGAGAGGGAGACAGATGTCAACAACTTTGTCCCAGTCCAAGATTCACACATATGTGTTTGGACCCACTTTTCCACCATCAACTCATGTGTTCTAGGCCGTTGGATTGAAGAATTTTAAGATTATTTTCACGTTTATTATTGCGATATTTATAGCCTCGGTAGTTATCTCCAAGATTTTGTTGAAGTTATCTTGACATCTTGATAATTAATCACTCTAACAGGGTTTGGAGATGGTTTATCATCATATTTGAAAAAGGAACCCTTGTTTTGCTTATTTTTAATTGGCCCTATAGAATTGGGCCGAATGCAATGCCTGACTTATGAACTCTCTCACTTTTATAGGCTAGGTTAGAGGGGCTACTCCAGACGTCGCTAAATCACCTAGTCCAGCATTAATGGTAATACATGAATGTTAAGTAGACAAAAATTTTAAACAATATTTACAAACCATATGATGTATCATGAATCGGAAATAAACACGCTAACCAACATTTTTAATAATTCAATCATAACAATCACGTCATAAGTTTATAAAATATAATTTAAATAAATAGTAACAGTAATACCGACGTTTTTAATAATAATAACAGTAGTAGTACCGATGTTTTCGGCTCAGCTGAAGAGTGGCGGAAACTCTGCTAATACACTTTCGAGGATCGAAGGCCATACGATACCTGCAAAACGAAAAAGCCCTAATTTCAGACCTCGTATTTTAGAGCCGATAGCCCGCGGAGCGTTTATCCGATTTACCTAAGTTCTCTCTTATCTCTTCCAGTTTTTCTATAACCTCTGTTCCACACTTAACTTGTTTTTCCGTTGGTCCAGCAGATAGAATGTAGCAGCAATTAACAGCTTCACTGTCTCGATTACAAGAGCAAACAAGTAAAGGATGGTGTGAGCCAAGGGTACCAAAAAAAAGGCAAAATATGGTCAATAGACTTTACCGATACAGCATTGTACATACAAAATTTTACGACAACTAATGCACAACACAGATTTTAGTACACGCATCGGGTCATCTTTGTCTTAAACATCTCGGAGTAGGTGTTGAGAAAATTATCGTTGATAACAAAAGAATCAGAAGCGATACATAGGCAATAAGAACGTGAGATTCCCTCGCAAGTGAGCAATAGCTGACGCTTACTGCTCCTTTGTTCCCCCGGAAAATGGCAACAACAAATCCAGGATCGTCCCTTGCATTCCACGTCATGGCCGGAACAGTCACCTCGCGCGTTCCATCTGGATGAAAGTGATCATAGAATTCTTGGGTGTGAGCGCTGAAGACAATCCTGCAAACAAGGAATTAAAGATGATTAGCTTACAGCTGACTTTTACACTTTAGGCATACAAGTCTACAGTAGGATTGATACTACACCAACATACTTGGGCGGCTCACAAGTCTGACATATGCAGACATCTAGAAGGGAAAGGAATAAGCAGTCAGGTTGAGGAATATTAGGCAAATATTAAATCCGTAATTTCAAATACAAACGGATCGTGAAGCAACTTCTGATTGACACATCGCCAGGAATATTTTAGGGAAAGAAGGAAACAAACGTCAGAAACAAAATATAAAAAGGTGACTCCTGAGGTTTGGAGAACTTATCCCTTTAACATCAAAGCAAAAATATTGTACCATACCCCACCACTATAGCAATGGAAAATCATAAAAGGTTCCAACAAGGAAGCAGCACGGAAACTTCTCTTTTAACAATAAAACCTTATATTTCTTCACAAAAAAAAAAGACCATAAAATTCTTTCCTTGTTTTCCAATTCTGGTATGTGAATGGACCCATGGTCGATGAATGGAACGACATAAAAGCAACTACAGATCTTGAAAGCTTTTGGTCAGTATAAAGTTTTAAGAAAATGAAATCACTACCTAATTGCCATATTCTCCAAAGCCACAAAAATAGACAGACCATTTAGTTCATTAGCTATAGAGAGAGAGGTAAATATTGGTGTGGACAGGGAATGGTGGGCTCTTGAGGAGGAAAAATGGGATACCAAACAACTCTAGGCACGCAGCATTTTAGCAACCAGATACAAAATCTGCTGATCAAATTTTTCTTCATTGCCCGGTAGCTTTGGGTTCATGGCTGAAGTTGGTTAGGGAGATGGGCATAAGCTGGGTAATTCCTAGGGACTGTCACTCTCTGAGTGAGGACTGGTTTAGTGGAGCTTTGAGATGGCCTCCGTTTTTCATCAGCCATTTGGGTTTCTGTTTCCCCAGAGTCCAAAGGAATCTCTTTTTCCTTAACATGGCTAGATTGGAAAGCTGCTATCTCCTAGTTCGTTAGTAGTTTTTTAGTGTTTTGGTGTTGCTTCCTTTTCTGTTTTGTTTCTGGTTCTTTCTTGTTTAATACAACTGTTTCTTAATCACAAGTAAAAAATAAAAAATCTTATATCAACCAGAGAAAAGAGTTATTCTTAATAATATTGAACCAAGATATATGAGATATTAGAATGCCCAGAAAACACACATACAACCATACGCATATAAATTATGGCATTCAGAGGAGTCAAGAACACACATGTTGTCAGTATATCAGATTGTGGTAAATGGAAAGTCATGGTTCTAATAATCAAGAATTGCAATATCACATCAATTCTTCCGATCTAAGTATCACTCTTCTGTTTTACTTATGAAACACATATACATAAATGGGTGAGATGAAGGCCATGGCAGCATTATTAAAAAGCAAAGGAAGAACATGAACTCACCTTGGTTTGAGAGCTTGAAAGATATACTCCGTAGCATTTAGCGGTAGCTTGTGCGACAACTTGTATGGCCCTGTACCAACAGGCCCCCTGGAGTAAAAAGAATAAACATTACGCACTACGTAAAACTGCTATCCATTTTAAAAACTAGAACAAAACAAAATAAACGACACAAGCATGGCAATGAATAGTCCTTTTTCTGTATATAACATCAATTGAATCCATTCAATCAAAGTCTAATTGTATTCACTATCTCTAGTTAAACAACATTTTCTTATCCCAAGGTGATCATGCTCAATAAGATAGTTCAGAAATGGGATTAAAATTAAATACCATAGCTACTACACTAGACTGCTTGTATACCAACGAACTTCTAAAAATTTCTATGAGATGGAATGGAAAAAACACAGCTGAACTAGGTGTGCTTGCATCAACTATCGTTAATAAAACAAGATTGCTCATTCGAAGGCGATCACTATCAACACACAGAAATAGGGATTAAAATGACGATAGCTTATACACGTAGGTGTTCAAACCGAAAATGACTATTGCTTAACAAGAAACCGATAGCTACAGATTCGACTACTACTTCTATGAGATCAAACGTAAACCCAAGTTCGACTAATTCCTATCAAACTCTCATAAACCGAAACCGAAACAAAAACAAATGGATTGCACCCACCTGCCATCCAATATGCTTGAACTCCCACCATTGTTAGCGGCATTCACATTCCGGTTTAATGGGAAGTGAAGCAAGAGCACAGGACCGGACCCAGATAACATAGCATTCTCTCTCCACCCAAACTGATAAACCCTCTTTCCTAATCGGTCGTTTTCATCCCCTCCCTCATTCACTCTCTCCCTCTCCATCTGAAAATCCATGCTTTCTCTCTCCACCACCTTCTCCACACTGAACCTCAGCTCATTGTTCCCACAAAGCAACGCCACCGCACTAAGCGACACAAAGCTCACATTTCCGATTTCGAAAGCTCCGCAGCCGGCGGAGTCCAGACCCGGCAACCTCCTCGAAACCCAACTCACCGACTCCGCACTCAGCTCATCGCATTCTCCAATATCCCGGTCTCCAAGCACAACGTGGAGCGGCAGCCCCAGAAACGGACCCAGTACCCTGTGGAACTGGTGGATCACCGAAACGTACTTGGTTTTCGGCAAATTGTGACCCCGCGCCGAGATATCGCCCAAAACCAGCAGCATATCGGGCTTCAGAGTGTGGAAAGATTTCTGCTTGGATACAAATTGATTGGATTCAGATGTTAAAAAGGAGGTGGGTTGGGGCAAAATCGGGAATTGGGTTTGTTGGAATTACCGTGAAGAACTTGGAGAGGTAGTAGTCTCGAAAGAGGAGGTTGAAGTAGCCGGAGTCGGAGCCGAGGAGGAGGAGGTCGGCGACGAGCATGACCTTGAGGTCGTCGGGGTGGTGGTGTTCCGGGATGGGTTCGGGAAGATTAGGGGTGGGTGTGGTTTTGCAGGAGGGGGTTGAGACCCACTCTTCGTAGACGAGCAGAGCTGAGACTGCGATTAGCGGCAACAACGGCTTCCACGAAACCCCCATTGTTGCTGCAAGTTGAGGGCTTTTGGGAGTTCGAAGGTTGTGGGGTTGGGGCCTTCGACAGCAAGCATAAATTTGTCAATAAAGAAACGCCTCAGCATTGGATTGGACCATTTCCCTATTTTAATAAAGCCAATTAAAGATTCCAGTGATAAACAGGTGCCGAGTACAAAGATTTAGACTAAATACAAGCACCCCAGAGCAAGGAGCGTTCAAGTAATCTCCACACATGGGAGAGAGACGCTGGGAGGTAAACTTCTTATTTCTGAAGCAAGACGAAAGGGGTAACGAGCTATTAAAATAAAACAGTTAAGTATTTGGTAAACTATATTTTAGAAATATTGTGATTATGAAAAATGATGTAGAAGCGTTAAGTAAATTATGATGTAAAAGTGTTCTAATTGTATATAATGATAAAAATAGATATAGTAGGGTGCTTGCAACAACGACGGTGGCAGAGTAGTGGTGGTTGTCGGAATAAGGTGAATCGGAGCACATATACGTTAAAAGTCCGGTCATGGACTCAACAACTTCAATCTAATTGAACTGCTTAAACGGACCAACCATGCCAACACATCTTGTTGTACTCCATAAAGGTAGGCGGAGTTTGCTAATTGCACTGAGATTTAGCATTCTTGTTTCCGCAAGACATGAAAACTTGATCTGATTGGGGATCAGACGAGTTTCCTATATCCTTGGAAATTTCTACAATCTAGGGATTGATGTGTGCTGCAAGTAATCGCATTTCTAAGAGAAAGCAATATCTATCTCCAGATATCCTCTTAGATTCTCTATGTTTAATACGGATTTGTTGCCACTTAGTAATACAGTTTAATGGTATTCCTCTTCACTTGTAAGTAAGAGATCTTAGGTTCGATTCTTGCCAAAGCCGAATTTGAACCACATTATTGCTAGCTCACGGTGAGGCTAAGCCTACCCCATTCTCCTTAGTGTAGATAATATCATTTGTTAAAAACAAAAAAATACAGATTCATTATCCTAAAAGAACTCTTTCTCGACTAGTATAAATACTTCATCTAGGGCAAATATCTGGTAATGCAATTCTCGCATAGTGCATACTTTGCTTATTCTCTTGTCCACTGCTTGAATCTTAATATTGCTTAATAACTTGATCATCAGAGAGCTTTTGGACAACACCCAAGGTTAACCACGATTGTTTTCTTTTTTACAAGTGGCCCATCCACAACGATGCGTGATTTTGGTTCCAGCAATTGGTGTTTTAATTGAAAGTGAACTTATATTTTAACAACCAAATCACTCTATCACACTATGTCTGCAGATGATAGCTCTGTGAATCCTAACACCAACACTCAAGGTGGAAGCAATTAACTCCCAAACGCCTTTGTCGTTGCGAGAAACAATGGTGTTCATGTTGGCAAAGCTCCCCCCACCATCGACCATATATGGGAAACCTTGTTGAAGATCAGTGCTTTTGTCAACAATCTCCAAAAAATTTCGAAGGCTTCTTAAACTAAGAACTTTATGAACTTTGTCGACTTTGAAAGGCATATGAAAGCCCTAAAGAATGCTCGCGGAACAATTATGCAAACCCAAGTCCAAATCTTAGGATTTGGAAATCCGAATCCCATCACTATGGGAAGACATCCGATTGTGACAATGCCTGGTTTTGTCCCTAGCGAACATTGTTGATCCGAACTCGCATTTGGAAGAACATGATGGTCGGACTATCAGTCACACCACTACAGACGGAATCCGAGTTTAGCGCAACTTCAATTCCTTGGACATTGCAAAAGCCTTCCGTATGGAGCCTAGGCATCTTTACTTTGACGATCCAAAGTCATCTGAAGAGCCTTGAATGACCGTAAACTTAGGGATGCTCCGAGAGACGCTTAAAATTGCCTTTCTAGTGAGGTTGTCACCAAGGTCAGAGGCCTTCTTTCTTTAACCATCAAGCTTGTGCTTCCTCTTGAGAAGTTCACTCAACCCAGGTTTCGAGGACTCCAATCTAGATTATCACATCATGCTCTATCAAAACATTAAAACCTTGTATAGCAACAACAACACTTGGATGTGCAAGATGTTCCCATCCACTCTAAAAGGACATGATATGAGGTGATTCTCGGAGTTACCAACCCGCTTAATCGACAACTTCGAAATTGCAAGCATCATTGCAAATACATTATCCATTTATCACGATGTCGCAAGCGCTACGAGGCCATATTTAACATGGAGTCTCAACCAAAGAGTGAAAGTCTCAAAAATTACCTACAACGTTTTCGTGTGAAACTAGTTGAAGTGAGAGACTAGATGACAAGCTTGCCACAATGGCTTTGAAGCAAGGCCTCTACATTCACTTGCTTCTCTCTTAGAAGCTGAATAATATAAATAAGACTGTGCCACCCTGGTGTAATACTTCGATATAGCCAATGTCATTATCGACTGGGATGACAGAACTCGAAATAGGAATTCCTTCTCGGATCACGATAGGAGGTCCGTGCAAAAGAGAGAGAAAACATGACACTCCACCTCCTTCTCAATATATTCTCTAAATTCTCATTATATGTATATGTTCACATGTCATTAACACCAATATATCAATAATAAAGAAATCACCCACCAACTTTGAATTCAGTTGAAATCAATAAAATTTTGTAACCTAAAAAGTAAACGATCCAATTTTTTTTCTGTTGAAAGTCAACATGCATTTACATGGCTCATCTAACAACAACTTTGATAATACTTGTTCTAGCTTGCATTAAGATTTCAATGAACATATACAGAAGTTTTGGTCATTACAAATATAGATGAATATCCAACCACCCTCAACAAATGCCATCATGGAATGTAAGGCTATAATAGTGTTTTTACTCAGTAATTTTTCTCCAAATTTAGATTTTTGCTCACAATTTCTAATTTATTATAATTAATTCAAAAACTTTCTCTCAAAAAAATAATTAATTAATTTTTTGGCTTTGGGCTCTAGTCTTGATTCACGACATTGTTCATTAGTCAACTTTAAGTAATTTACCAACAAACAAGGAATATGAGAGGTGCTTTTCTTTTTCTAAAATTAGGGACTACATCCCCACGCGTCTTGGTTACGCGTGTTTCACACTCGATGCCTCACTCCGCTTTAAAAGCACGTGAATTGTACTCCCTCCATCGTCCGAATGACTTTCCTACCCTCACCATTTCGAAAATATTAAACCCGTTCCATCCGCGAGTATTGAAAATAAAATTTAAAAAACTGCACAAAAATCCAAATTAGGATCCAATTGATGGACCAGAAATTCCCTCCGTCAACGTGTCATATTAGTGGGCCCAAGGCCCGAATCCAAGAGATGTCTTTTGAGCGTAAGATACATAGGTGTGAGTATTTACACGTAAGTATACCCTTCGACTACCGTAATCCACCGCTAGCAAAATCCCAAATATACCCTCGTTTGGGAAGCCAATCCTGGTCAAATTAGCAGAAAGAAGGGAGGGCGATTTGGGAATTTCACGAAACGATAATAAACTAAAATAATGGGTAGGAAAATAAAAATTGCCGGGAATAAAATAACGGTGACCGGGAGAAAAGCCCGGCCGCGAAGGCTTTGATATTTCCTATATAAACCCGTCACCACGCCTTGTATTCTCACATATCACGCTCTCTCTCTCTCTCTCCTCTTCCATGAGGTGTCTTTCTCTCTCTAGCCAAGCTAGCTCTCTCGCAAACCCTTACCCTACAGACTACAGAGAGCCCTCCTCCGTCTCCCAAATTTATTTAAATTTGGTTAAATTAAATAATTTTTTTTTTCCATCTGATAAATACACGACACGAAAGCTCTAAAAAGAGGTAAAAATTCTGCCCAATATATTTTAAATTTTAATTTTTTCGAATTTTATTTTGGTTGATGCGGAAGACCAGTAGCATGAATAATGGGATTGGATTAAGGACTGAATGTTTAGGTGGGAGTAATTAGATGAATGCAAGAACATTTTGATGAACAAATTGTGGATCTGTTTGGGTGGAGGGGGATTTGGGGATTTGTGTTGGGATTTTGGAGTCTTTGGTTGTTGATGATGAAACCCTAGAAACGAAATGCTAGGTCTGCTGGTTGGGATTGGGATTTCAATCTGAGTAGGCAATTTTGAATTTAATTGGATCAAGAACTGGGTTTTTAGATTTGGGTTTTTTTCTTTCTAGTTATTGTTAGGGTTTCGTGTATGCTTATTCTGCTAGGTTGTAAATCTGTAATATATGCTTATTTGACTATAAGTGCTGTTTGGAAAAGCAATTTATGCATTTTGAATTACAAATAAATTTGTGCAATTTATGTGTTAATATGATTTTATTTCATTTTCTTGTATTCGTTGCGGATAAATGTTAATTTGAGCATGATGCGTGTGTTGTGTGTATGTGTGTCTTGTGGTTTGGTTACTATTTTTTTTTTGTTACTGGGTCGCTTCTTATACCGTTGTTGATTGATTGCTTACCTTAATTTGGCTTGTATGAGTCACTTGACTTTTAAAACTCAGTTTGATTAATCTTTTGATATCTATTGGGTTCCATTTAATGCACGTGTTTATCCTGTGGTGTTTTCGTGTTGCCTAACTGATTGCATTTCGTTTGAATTTTTTTCGTGGAAGGGAATCACAAAATCGTCCAGTACAACCTTCTTGGAAATACGGTTTAGTTTGTATGTATTTACATATGAGATGGGTTCTCGAGGAAAGTTGTTATTTGATCTCAATGAACCCCCTGCCGAGGATAATGAAGAGAGTGATAGTGCCCTCAGCTTCCAGCCGCAAAAGGCACTTCCTTCTACAAATCCCAACACTACTGAAGTGCTTGCAGTAGCAGCCGTTGCACCAAGAATTGTTAATAATCATGCTTTTTCACATGCATCGTCTGTGTCAGGTTTTCAACCTTTTGTTCGGCCTAAATACGCTTACGGCTCTGAAGGTGATGCTGATGAGAAGTCAAGAGATAATAATCCCAGAAATACATTAGTATCTGAATCAAGTAATGATGAGGACATGAAACCTGTACCATCTTTAGCTTCTGCTTCTGCAAATGCTCCAT